TCACCCCTCACCCCACGGCTTCCCCAACTCCCCAGCTCGTGCTGTCACCCCTCACCCCACGGCTTCCCCAAGCCCCCAGTTCCACGCTGTCACCCCTCATCCCACAGCTTCCCCGACCCCCCAGCTCCGCGCTGTCACCCTCCCAGCTCCGCGCTGTCACCCCTCACGCCATGGCTTCCCCGACCCCCCAGCTCCGTGCTGTCACTCCTCACTCTACAGCTTCCCTGAGGCCCCTGCCTCCAGCTCCATATCTGTCACTCCTCACCCTGAACCCCTATCTCCATGCCTCCCACCCCCTTACCACAGCTCCCCAGCACCCTCTGGCCCCTCACTGTAGTCCCTTGGACTCCAAAACATACTTGCACACTCTCCACAGCCCGACACCCACCAGCCCCTCGCGTCATCCCCCTGACACCCATCAGCCCCTTTGCCGCATTCCCCTGGTGCCCAGCACCCACTAACCCCCCGCCACATCCGTGTGGTGCCCAACACTCACCAGCCCTTTCACCGCATCCCACCAGTGCCCAATGCCCACCAGCCCCTTCACTGCATCCAATGGGAGCCCAATGCCCACCATCCCCTTCATCACAAAACCTTGGTGCCCAACACCCAGCAGCCCCTTCACCTCATCCCATGGGTGCCCAACATCCACTAGCCCCACACTGCATCCCCCTGGTGCTCAGCGCCAACAACCCCCTTGCCAAATCCCTGTGGAGTTCAAAGCCCACCAGCTCATTCATACCAGCCCCTTCAAGCCAACTAACTATCTTGCTGCAGCTCCTAGAGCCCCTCACTCTCAAGTGTAATTATTATTCAATGGAAGTGCCACCTCTCTGTGGCCCCTGCAACCTGTGCCAACCAGTTCCCTTGCTGCAGCCCCCTGAGGCTCAACACTCACCAGCCCCCACCCTGCAGTCTACAAACCAAGGACTATTTGCAGAATGATTTTGAATAGTGAATAAAATTTGAACAATATGGTGAATTCTCCATCTCTTGAAGTCTTTATAGCAAGACTGGCTACTTTTCTAATTGAGATGCTATAGCTCTGACAGAAGTTATGGCTTGATGCAGAAATTATTGGGTGAGGTTCTTTGTGTAATGCAGGTCAGATTAGATAATAATGATTCCTTTTGGCTTTAACAATCTATGAAAATATCTTAATTTTATCTATAGCAGAGCTGGTATTGTACTATCATTGGAAATGACTGCCTAGGGAGGAGTACTGCAGAAAGGGATCTGAGGGTCATAGTGGATCACAAGCTAAATATGAGTCAACAGTAAGCAAGACACAGGAAGTAATTCTTCTGCTCTACTCTGTGCTGATTAGGCCTAAACTGGAGTCCAGTTCTGGGTACCACATTTCAGGGAAGAGGTGGACAAATTGGAGAAAGCCCAAAGCAGAGCAACAAAAAAAATTAAAGGTCTAGAAAACATGACCTATGAATGGAAGATTGAAAAAATTGGGTTTGTTTAGTCTGGAGAAGAGAAGACGGAGAGGGGACATGATAACAAAAGTTTTCAAGTACATAAAAGGTTGTTACAGGGAGGATGGAGAAAAATTGTTCTCTTTAACCTCTGTGGATAGGACAAGAAGCAAGCGGCTTAAATTGCAGCAAGGGAGGTTTAGGTTGGACATTACAAAAAACTTCTGTCAGAGTGGTTAAGCACTGGAATGAATTGCCTAGGGAGGTTGTGGAATCTCCATCACAGAGATTTTAAAGAGCAGGTTAGACGAACACCTGTCAGGGATGGTCTAGACTCTAGATAATACTTAGTCCTGCCAGGAGTACAGGGGACTGGACTAAATGACCTCTCAAGGTCCCTCCAGTCCTATGATTCTATGATTCTATAAATATGGGGCAAGGAGCAATCTTTGTTACTGCTGTATGCCGTAAACAGGAACTTGGTATTATTCATTTCTTGGGGCTAACTTTGTAATGCAAGAATCAGAGCCAATCAAGGATTAAAGGAAGGGAGAACAGAGAGTAAATATCTCTCTTCTGACTCCCTATTCTACTAATAACAGAGGGGAGCTCCCACTTCTCCTGGGCTGACATGGTGAGCCTTCCCCCTCCTCTTGCAATTAGCTTTAGCCTCTGGAGCTAGTGTTCATGAACTACACACTGGTTCTCTTGTGTGAATAATTGAGCATCTTCCCCAGTGGCAGTTGGAGCACATTCACCCCTATACTCCACTCTGGTTCCATGGCCTGCTGGAGAGTTGGTGGCTCCTACATAGGGACATGAGCCCAAGTATGTACCTGGTGCAGTTCACAAACTCCCCTGCCACCTGTCCTTTGTGCAGCAAGAGGGAGATCCTGGTGCACATTTATGTAGGGTGCCTCAGGTTACAGCCCTTCTTCCAGTTTCTCCAGAACCTCTTACTGAGGTTCTAGCTCCACTTTTCCCTACACCTCCTCATTTATGCACACACCCCATCCATGGGCCCACAAAGTCGTGAGACTTCCTTGCCAACTTTGTCCTAGCGCTGGCTAAGATGGCCATCCATCACACCAGAAGGAGGAAGCTGGATGGTGGGGTGCTCTGCGACTGTGAGGCCTGTTTCTGATCCCTTGTTGTGTCATGCCTGCGAGCAGAGGTCTTCTGGGCAGCATCCACTGACTCCTTAGACACCTTTAAGGAGCAGGGGTGCTGTTGGGAGTTCTCTGCTTAGGCTGCCCTTCCAGTTCCCTGATTTTTAACCTTTAACCATAACTCCTGTCCCCAAAATTTACTTGGGTTCAATGGGCCCTCCCCACTGGTTAAGGGCCATTAGCTTTGGGCAGGCTAAGGTCCTCTTTCCAGGGCCACCCTAGAGGATTCAGGGGGCCTGGGGCAAAGCGGGGGAGTTTGTACTCACTGGGTGGCACTCCGAGTCTGCGGCGGGGGGACCCTTCAGTCGCTCCGCATCTTCAGCAGTACTGAAGGGCCCCCAGCCGCCAAAGACCCAGAGCGACCAAAGGGCCCCCTGCCGCCAAAATGCCACCGCCGACTCGGAACGCCGCCAGGTGAGAAAAGGGATTCTTGGCCAGGGCCTGGGGCAAATTGCCCCACTTGCCGCCCCCCAGGCAGCCCTGCCTCTGCCTCTGCCTCTGTCCCCCAGTAGCCATAATAGGTTGGAGCGCATTCTGGATGAGGCTGACTGGGTGGAAAGCAGAGAGCTGGGAAACAGGGCTGCTGGGCTCTACTTCCAACTCCCAGAGCAGAGCCTGAAGGGATGGGGGTGGTTCCTAGGGCAGAGACCAAGGAGCTTTGGCACCCATACTTCCGAGTTTGGGGCCTCAAAGTGACTGCCTAATGGAATCAGGATGATACCCATCCAATTGAATATTTAAATATATGTAAACTAGTATGCAAAATAGGTGGCGGCGGTGGGGCTACTGGGACGTTGTTGCTCCTCAATACTCTGCCCTGTCCTAGGGGCTGACTCTGAGCCAGCCCGGAGGGATGAGCAAGAAAACTGCCCGCATCTCCTCTTGAGTGGGGAGGGGGAGCCAGTGGAAGGACCACGCCCCTACGGCCGCGGAAGGCGGGCAGCACCTCCCTTTCTATAAGACCATGTGACGATGACCCCGCCCCTTGTTTCCGGTGGGTAGAGAGGAGGCGGAAGTGAAGCGGAAGTGGCCTTGGGAAAGCGCCGGGAGTGAGCGACTGGAGTCATGGAAGAATGAGCGCGCCCCCTGCCCTGCTGCTCTAGGGCGCCATGGAGACCGTGCAGCTGCGCAACCCGCGCCGGTGAGGGGCTTGGGGTGTCGGGACTAGGGGTTGGGTCATGGGAGGTTGGGGGATGAAGGAGGTTCGGTCGGTCTGTGGGAGGCGGCGGGGACAAGGGGGTGGGTCGGTCGGTCTGTGGGGGGATGAGGGGATGAAGGGGGTGGGTCTGTCTGTGGGAGGCTGGGGACGAGGCGGGTGGGTCTGTCTGTGGGAGGCTGGGGACGAGGCGGGTGGGTCTGTCTGGGGGAGGCTGGGGACGAGGCGGGTGGGTCTGTCTGGGGGAGGCTGGGGACGAGGCGGGTAGGACGGTCTGGGGGGGGATGAAGGGTTTGGGTCGGGATGAGGGGAGGTGTGGGTCGGTCTGTGGGAGGCGGGGGAGGGAGATGAAGGCGGTGGTGCTGTGGGAAATATAAATAAAACACCTGCCCACTGAAAGGTTAAATCATCTAAAATCAGCCCAGGTTCGTAAGTGACTCATCCTTTAGATATACCCCCTTTTCCCAGGGAGAGCAGGGAGCCGTGGGATGGGTGACATAGCAACCAGCATCACAGGACTTTTCTCCTCAGGCTAAAAATCCCCTGAGGCAGCATGTGTCACTACAGCTTCACTAATATTGGTGCGTGGACCCTGCTGCAGTGGGAGTGTTAGAAATTCATCAAGAAGGGATAAAAACAACTGAAGGGAAATAAATGTAATATGTACAGAGCCCAAGTATAATAATTATGTGAATAAATGATAAAGGACTGGGGTTATTAAATACATGGCAGGGTAATAAACCTTGCATCCATTAGGGATAGAAGAAAAAGAATTTGATAGTGGAGTGGTAAATTCTTATGTTTGCTCCTAAGGTAAAGTTTGCAGTGGCTAGGGCAAGGTGTAGGAGTTTGTTCCTTACATATGTGTGGAAGGAGGTGTCTGTTTTGTCAAGTAGGCTGTGTGTGATTGCATTATGGTTACAAGTTTTGTTGTGGCAATAACCAGCACTACTGATGTGCAGCTAAAATGTTGGCATCACAATTTCCAGTCTTCAGTGCCCTTGTGTTTTAATAAAATACCGTCACAAATTTCCTTTTCTTAAAGAGGGATTAGATTAAATTCAAGAGTAAACATGTGCTCCATCACATTTGCAATTTGTTCAGGCTAGTAATTGTGTTATTTTAGGAACCTTAGTGAAACCACAAGTCATAGAAAGCTAAGAATAGGATGAAGCTAAGAGACTTCAAGACTTTTCAGTATGTTAAATATTACACAAGAAAGATGCAACCTGGAGTAATTGCAAACTACTTAATGTAAGTGTGGTAAGCAGAACATAAAAATGGCCATAGTGGGTCCATCTAGCCCAATAACCTGTCTTCTGACAGTGGTCAATGCCATGTGCTACAGAGGGAATGAACAGAACAGGTGATCCTCAAGTGATCCATCCCCTGTTGCCTATTCCCAGCTTCTGGCAAACAGGGTTTAGGGACACCAAATCTTGAAAACAAAAGTTAAGCCACATGTCTTTCAGCAATGATACTGCTATATAAGGCATCTGTCTTATGACCATCAAAAGGGTATGTTAAAATTGTGACCATGTTCAGGGCGGTAGAAGATTCAGAAGGTAGTCGTCTTGCCCTGAGGCATTTACAATCTAAATAGACAACCAAAAACACAGTGGGAGACCCAAAGACATGTTCTATAAGCCCCTTTTAAGAATAAGCACTTAAAGCTCAAGAAGGTAGGCACTTTAAAAATACCTTAGAAACAATTCTGCCACACTTGTGGTGGCCATTGCGGGTGATTGTTGTGGTAACTTTCTGTTTCCATTAATGTACATCTCTTGTGAGATTGCACACAGCTTTATCTTTTAGGTTAGATCTGCTTGGTCCACATATTCTTAGAATTTTTCAGTGTTCTTATGTCCATTTGTAAGATTGAGGACCTTGGACAAAAGAGGGGGAGAGATAGAGACTAGCTGTAGAAGAACACAACCAATGGCAACACTTTGAATGAATGAGGAACATCAAATTGCTTTAAAGAGAACCCTAGGGGGTAGAAACCTGGAATATTAAAACATTAACTGGTTTTTGTTTTTTTGCCACTAGATTAGTTTAACAGTGGGATCAGGTTTGCAGAGAAGAGAATTTGCAAAAACAACTTTAGCATAATCAGGCCTCCACCCTTTGAGGAAACCCTGTCAAGTTGTGGAAAAACAAATGGCTCAAACCTTTTCTATTGAAAAATGGAAGCACATGTCTTGCACTCAAAAAACAAAACAAAAACCCCCACCTTTTGTACTAAGAGATGTCAAGTCTGCTGTCAGGTAGCTTTTTTAATTGGGTGTGTGGGGGGGGGAAATCAGATGTTTAATTGCTAACGTCTCCTCTTAATAATAAGTTATATATCAGTAAAGGTCACTATTGCATGTATATTTGGCAAAAAGTGAAATTATGTTAGTTCTTTGCACTCCTGGCTCTTCCATTAAATGGTCAAAATGTTTAGTTGTAGTGCAAACTAATTAGCATGACAAGATGTTTATTCTTAACAGCTATGCACAGAACCGTGTATACTGTTACTTATGTTCCTCAGTGTTCTTTATCTTCTTTGTGTCAGGTACAGCAATGTCTGTTGGGTGTGAAGACGAGTTATATCTTGGGATTTCAGTGAAACCTTTGAATAAACCTGTTGCCTTCCTATCATTTCACTGCAGGCTGTACTTGAGCAACCCGAGATAGGGGATGTTTTAGAGGCATCTCTTCAATTGAATGAAGTTTCAGTTTGTCAAAATGCTATCGGTAGCTTGCAGCTGCTTCTAACGGTATATTTGAATGATGAACTGAAGAGGCAGCTTCCTTTGTTCTGTGGCGTAGATAGCAGTTGTTTTTTTAAATGATGGAGTAACATTTATACTAGTAGAAATGTGTGCATTTATTTTATAACTCTTTATGCAAATGTTTAACTATACTTGACCCATATTGGAGTGTTCATGTCCATACAGTAATGCTGGTTTTATGGCTTCAACTCTCTCTAAAAATGTACACCGATTCTAAATGAATCGGCTCACTCATCATTGATTCAGAGCTTTTTAGTTAATGATTAAATAAAACTTGAATTTCTGAATTTGTTCGGAATCTGAATATTCTGGTGGTGTCAGTAGAAACAGAAGTTAAGTTGGTTTCTAATTAACTTGTGTAGTGCTTGGATTTTCTAAAATTCTATCTCGATACTTAATGGTTGGGTCTCATACTAGATGCTTTTTTTAGTACAGTATCTGTCCTTTAGATTTCCACATTTCACACTGCTTGGAAATTGTGACTTATATGGTGATTATCTACTGATTTTTTTTTCTTTCAAACAAGTAACATTCTGTTGGTTCAATGCTTATCTTTGCAGAGAAGCTAGTGACTACTTTCAGTATTTCGCCATTTCCTGAGTCTGCTTGTTTGTAATATTTTCTTCATTTCAGGAAGCCATTGTACATAACGCATGTGTGTACTGCTTCTGCTATATTGCTTTTGTATATAAACATAACAGAAAATGAGCACAGCGTGGCTTCTATTCCTGGTTTACAAAATCTTAATCAAAACCTTTTACATTTTTTAATAGCATCTGATGAGCCACCTTAGTATCACAAATACAAAATCTGTATTTGCTGTCTTGATGTTTAGTAACTCCAGTCCCTAGAAGCCATCAGATATTTATTTGTAAGTTGTAAGCATACACACGTGCTTCATCTTAACCTGGCTCAAGTGTGGGAATCAAAATTGACTGATAGTGGGGGATCATGCCTGTCTTTTGGATCCACAACTGAGCTCTTTTGGGTTCAAATGGAGGCAATGTATCTTTTCTTGTGTCCATTATATGTCACTTAGTGGATTGTAAAGGATAGGTTTTGAGAGCTTATGTCCTTAAGGACTGTTTAGAACCTTGTAGTGATTGTATGTAACGTACATTAAAGGTAACCTGCAAAGACTAGCTTTGTGCTTTTCTTGCTGCTTTGTGATGAATGAGAAGTTTGTTTGTTTTTTTTCTTCAAATTGAACGAGCATAGGAATCTTTAACAAAGGCAACCTTGCTCCTAAGTGTTTCAGCTATAGGAGACTTAAGCAGTCTGACTAAAAATCACTTTCTATCTCGGTTAATGAGATTTCAGTTTCATTGTTGTTGGGGTTTTTTTATGCCATTATCCTACCAGTTCTCCAATCATTCATAGTCTTCCAAGATGTACAAAATCTGAATTTCAAGTGTGAAAAATAAGCAAGGAAAAAAACCTCCCCCAAACAAACCTTTTCTTTATGCATCCAAAGCAACCAAAAAAAAAAAAAGCATGAAAATAAATTTAACAAAATGTTTGTGTGGGTTCTTGGTACAAGCTTTTTCTAAACTATCTTATGCCACAAGACTTGGAGCTTGTTGAAGATTTGTTCAATAAGTGTAGACATCATGATGTTCAAATGGTGTGGAAATGATCCTGAATATATTCTGATACTACTTACTGTTTCCTGCCACTGAGAGGAAATGTAGATCTTTGTGCTTGATAAAACGCTGCCCTCCTGTAAGACTCACTACTTTTGTAGTAGTAAGAAATAGCAGTACCTGGTGGGCTGATTGTGCTAAATGCAGTTTACTTCACACTAGATCTAACCGCTGTATTTTACTCCTCAAGCAGACTAAATTTTATATTAAGATAAAATGTATTTTTGTCAAATTGTCAGAGTTGCATGGTTTAAAATGAGTTTTACTTAAAGCTCTGTTCTCAGAAATAACCAAATTACAGAATCTTAAACTCTTTCATTTCTACATCTCTGTATATATACAGGCAGCTGAAGAAATTAGATGAAGATAGTTTGACTAAGCAGCCAGAAGAAGTATTTGATGTACTGGAGAAGCTGGGAGAAGGGTGAGTGTCTTATACAATGTGCAGAATGTAAACTTGTCCAAGAACATATACACGTAATGGCTGACTATTTGTGAAGACCTGTGGTTTTTGTTTTTTTTTTTAAACAGAACTTTTTTTGAGGCAGATGGCATTTTGAATATAGTGCTTGTCATTGGAACACCTACATCTAAGCTCCGAGTTGTGTAAACACCAGTTTTAAATTGAGGAACTTTTACATTTAAAAATGCTTGAATGGACACTGGAAATAAAATGTACATTTTTCTAGCTTAAATGTAATGTGTCTCATTTGATGACAGAGCCCTAATATAAACAAACTTTTTACTAGATAAAACAATAAAGACCGTATCAAAACTGTTTTATAGACATACCTACTGCTATTTCAGTGTCTCCATTCAGTGAATGGGACTGTTGGCTTTGGAGCTGCATTTTTAAGGATACTTTTTAGCAGTGACCTCATTTTGAATCAAGTAGACAGAAAGAATCAGCATTCTCACTTGAAAGTATTGGGAATCAGAAAACGTAAGTAGTTGTAAACTGTCTAACTTTTTTATCAATTCTTAATCCAAATATTAAAATGTAGAACATAAAATAAGTAATAGGAGAATTAAATTGTTGAGAATAAAAATGACCATTTCAATTGTTGGGCGTTACACACTGTAACCCTTTCATTTTCCTGGTTTTTAATGTACAGGCTATAGCTAGAAAACATCACCTCCTTACTGAAGTATAAAAAGCCGAAATTAATTGTAAATCCAGACAAAGAGGCAAGCAAAAAATATCTAGCGCTAGAATAGCGAGAGTGGGAGGCATATTTCCCCACAAAGTGTAGGAGGGAAAAAACCATACTTCCCTACTCCTAAGTGGAGAACTTGAAGAACTGTATTAACATTGCTGAACATTGAAAACTGAAATTAAATGTTCTCCTTTTCATCTTAGAACCTCTTGTTGGAAGTTCAGTGTGGTGTAGGAGGAAGATGCTAACTAGAAGAAACATAAAAGTTGAGGTTAGCTTGCATTCTGATACTCAGGCACTTCTTTTTAATCCTATACTGTGCCTGAATAAGATATGTTGAACAAATCATGAGACTGACAACTTCTGTAAACTCAGTAGTCTATTTCAAATGAACCCATGAAACTGACACTGCACTTGTGCTTAGTAACAATATCTAGTTCTGGCAAAATGGATGGACTGTAAATTCTTACTAACTGGCATCCAGTTAAACAGTTAAGTGCTGTGTGAAATTCTGAAACTACAATAACTGAATACAATGTTGAATTCTAAACCTCTGACAATGTACAGACTTATGCTGGAAAAGTATTTTTTTCCATCAAGATAGCTGGAACATATTTGGTCTATTTGAATTACAGTATACCAGTGGAGACAGACAACTGTGTTTGAGACAAGATTTAGGAATAGTTATAGTAAACACTAATGCTGTCGGAAAAGTTGGTGATAAAAAATTGAAAGCCTCAGAAAAGTTAATTCTTATGGCTCTTTTTATTTATTTACAATTTTATAAGAAATTAAAACTTATTTATTCTAAGCCCTTCTGTCTCAAAGTAAATTTCTTATTCCGATCCTCTTGCTCATTGAAGCAATAACTGATTTAATTTTGGGGGTGAGAGGGTTATCCAAATACCTTGATTTTGTAGAAAAACATAATATTGGAATGTAGGGGCAAACATCTTATTTCTTTTTGTCTTTCTAATTTGCTTATCTTGGAACAGCTTATGCAGTGTTTATTGTGTGGTGCTGTGAAATACAGAGACTTTCTTGGCTACGTCTCCACCAAGTCCTGCAGATTTCTCTACTTTAGGGTCAGAACCGTGTCTTGTGAGAAGCTCCTATGTTACCCTATTTTTTCCTGCATCTTTGAAACGATTGCAGTGCTTTACTTCAGTCTGAGATAATCTGGACACCATCACTATACTTCATGAATTAGATGGATATAAGTGACGGTTTGGTTTACTTCCCTGTTACCTGCAAGCTTATTGCCATGACATCCATTCGTTTCTCAAGAGTTATTGTGTATGCATTATAGGAAATCGTTGCTGTACCTTATTTGCAAATGGATGAAAACATAATTTTAAGCATGCAAAATATGAAGCTTCTATACCATGTGCCTATATATAAAAGTATATAGTATTGCCCAAGATGGTCTAAAGCTTTGGGATGAGGACTGTGGTTGACAGCTTCACTCCTCTGGCACAATGAAACTCTCAACAATAAGAATAAAGTTCGTTGTGTGGGAGATAGAACTTTCTCAGGCACTGGTCCAAGACACTGGAATGAACTTGCTCAGACACTAAGGACCATCATAAACCTCACCACTGTCCGTTCCAACATCAAGGCTCGCATTTTTTCACTTTGCCTTCTCTAACATAAACATATATCAACAGATATATCTTATATTCGAACAGACCGACAGAAAAATCTACCAAAACAAGACACTCCACTGCATATATTTCTCCCTCTGGGGAGAGGATGAGAGAACAAACAAGTGGCAGATGTATAGTCATGTTGTTCAGTTACTATGGTGATGAGCATGATATAAAAACCTATATAGACCAGTTTTTACTGCACTTCAGTTAAATGTATATTGAAAATAGTTTAGAGAAATGAGTTTGCTGGAGTTTGGGTAAAAAGGTATTTTTAAGGTTATTGGGAATGTGGTGATTAGCATCTTTCCTATGTATTTCTCATTGTTACTATAGCACCAGGAGCCTGTAGATTAACTGAAGTTTTGCAAATACTCCTGTTTTATTATGTCCAAGTTGTATGTGGTGTTCAAAAAATCAACTATTAAGATATTCGTAGTAGGAGAGGTCATTAAACAATGTTCCTTTTTTCCCAGATTATGATGCACCTCTAAGTGTAAACCAAAAAGTGTGCCAGTTTTTAACCTGTTGTATTGCTTGTATTTAGTATTTCACATTTTGATTTACAGATCCTATGGCAGTGTATTCAAAGCTATTCATAAAGAAACAGGTCAAATTGTTGCAATTAAACAGGTTCCTGTTGAGTCTGACCTGCAGGAGATCATAAAGGAAATATCCATAATGCAGCAATGTGATAGGTAAGTGCCTGCAACGAATCCCGCCTGCAACCCCTTAAGAAAAGTATTGCATGGGATCTGCTTAGCAGTTGAATCTAGGAAACACTGTGCTGTTGCACTGTCTGAGGTGAACTAGCCAACATTTATCAAAGAAACATGATTTATATTGAGGTTTTTTTTTAAATGTTCTTAAGCTGGCCTCTCCTCAGTCTAGTTTAATAGACTTTGTTTACAATAAGTGCTATTTGGAAAACCGAAAGAGAGCAGGCGATGTATGCATGATTTCTCTCTCTCTCCCCTCGCCCCTTACCTCAGCGTGCCTCCACCTGAGTTCCACTTGTGTGTTTCACTTTGCAGATGCACAGGCTAGTGTGCTGTCTGCAAAGGTGACAGAATTCTCATTTGCAGAGCCATCACTAGTATGTGCCGATTTTAGTGCATTAAAATACACGACTAAGTTGGAAGCCACTCAAAATTACTCTTGCACAAGTGGGGTGGTTGAATTATGAAAGTCGGGCCCTGTGTATCTCTCACTGATTTCACTCATTTCCTTTGGAAAAACTGTCCGAGCAGAAAAGCTTATGAAGAGATCATATACACAACTGCCCTCCTGCTACAAAAGTTTCCCTTGGATAAATACTTAAAAGCCACATACCATTTCTAAGTCCTTATTTATTTTAGTGTTAAGCCTTTAGTCTGAGGAACTATTTTTTTAAA